TTATTGTTCCCTTGCCACTGAGAGTACACCTTTGCTGGTTCTGTGGAGAACAGCTGGTTTATTCTCCTGCCTTCTATCTCTCTGGTGTACCTCCTCAAGCGGCTGGCCAAGGCTGTGAGTCTTTGCTTGGCAGTTTCCAAGGCCTCAGGTATGGACAGCTTGCTGTATTTCTTATGCACCTTCTTTAGTATTTACTCGGGATGGGATGGCCTTCTTTTCTTGAATTGTAAGGTTGAACAGAAGTTCTTGCACTGGTGAGGACAGCTGACACCTTCAGTCTGATTTTCTCTGCTTACAGTTGTTAGTTTACTAATCCTTATCTGAAATTACATGCTGGATTAAGCAAATAAAAAAATAAAAATGTCAGTCAGTAGTTGAATCCAAACACCATTCTGGAGATTCCAGATGGTACTCACATTATATCTCAATCTATCTATATCTCTACTTAAAAATAATTTAAATATGTTTACAAGGGCTCAGACGTTCCATCTCAAAATATGCACAATCTACTGATATTTTGGAGGGTTGTGGGGTCACATTTGCTCAATACAGCATAGAATTTGAAAAAAAAATGGCATTTTCTTCATTTTTGTGACTAAGAAATTCATTGTTAAATTCAACTATGAGCTATTCAGAAATCATTGCTAGTTGTAATTTGCATTTATTTATTTCTGCAGTTAAAAAAATTAAAATAAATGTGTATTCAAATGGGGGAGTTCTCAAAAGCCCTGGACTTGTTTTTAAAGCTAGGAATACTTGTGAGTCTAAAAATAGATTAAACGCAGTGTTGAGGTTGACAATTTCAGCATTTACATGGATGTTAAGATGTGATTACTTTATCTGAAGTCACCACTAAATTAGTTACAAAGTCTAAAAAATGAGATAGAAAATCTAAGTAAGGCCAGGTGGACGATAGATAACAACAAATAAAATGGACAAGGTTACGAGTCTGGCTTTCAGGAGTCGGGAGTGCTGAATCATTTTAAACTGAGACGTTTATCTAATGGTAACCAGGCCCTCTAAGGCAGAATAAATCGGAAGCTGGGGGAAATGTTTTTTTCTTTATATAAAACTGAAATATGTAAAGCCAGGCCTATCAAACTGTCCCCACCTCCAGGAGACATAACAGATCATTTAAAACAAATGCTTGACAGCGGCATTATTTGACCGTCTTGTTTCTGCAGGAAAAGGGTGTGGTCTCAGGTTCTGTGTTGTGGAAAGCTTAATGATGTCACCAGATAGGATATATATGCCCTTTTAATGATGCACTTGAAAGCCTGAGATATGCCTGCTGGTTGTCCACACTTGATGTGGCCAAAGGAACAAAGGTTAATCCAGAAGATCATCACAAAAATGCTTTAAAAAAGGATTGTTTGAATTTAATGTTTGAATTTCTGTCTGTGAAATGTACTTTCTAAAGTTTGGTGGATTTCATACTTGCAGATTTGCAGTGGACACTGCGTTTGATGTACTTTGATGATATTATGTTTGGACGCACATTTCAGCAGCACCTGGTCTGGTTGGACAAGGTATGTGCAAGGCTTCCGCACGCCAATTTGAAAATCAAACCCTGTAAATTTGATTTTGTTTACTACTTGGCACATGTCATGTCCCATGCAGATGGGTTAAGGCAGACCCTGGTAAGGGGGCTGCAGTCAGTAATCAAATTTAAGTTTAATATCCTACTGATGCTTCAGTTTTAGAGAAAGTGAAGCATTTTTAAGGGACTAGTGATAGTCAACAGGTGGATGAGTTTAAATATCTGGGGTCAAGTATCCAAAGCAACGCACGGTGCACGAGACAGGTGACGGGCAGGATCAAGGGGGTGGAGATGAGTGTCGGGGCGATTTGTAACAAAAGGATACCAACAAGAGTGAAAGGGAAGGTTTACAAGATTGTAAGAGACCTGCTATGATGTATGGTTTGGAGATGTAGCACTAACAAGAAGACGGGAGGCTGAGGTGCAGGTGGACAGAATAGCTTGCTAATTTTCAGTATAAGAAAATATATTGTCCAGGCGAATTAATGCAAAAGCATCCAAAATGGGATGGATGCTGTTTCTGCTAACAGGACCAGGTCTGAAGTTTCCCAGTTATCTGTAAAGCACATATAGTTTTTTGGACACTACGCAGGCAGCCAGCAATTTAATGAGAACAGAGCTCATTATTAACTAAAAGACTAATTACTAACTAGTCTACTAACTACTGGCCAGGCAGATTGCATGCAAATGCAATCCTTTCAAGGTTACCTGCTTATGGTCATCCAAAGAAAGGGAGGCTGGAGCCACACCTTTTAATGGCGCGAGCACATCCCAGCTGCCATAAGGCAAGAGGCGGGGTACACCCTGGACGGGTCGCCAATCTGTCGCAGGGCTAACGCAGAGACAGACAACCATTCACACCTATGGGTAATTTAGATCACCAATTAGCTAACCCCACTAACTGCATGTCTTTGGACTGTGGGAGGAAGCTGGGAGTACCTGGGAAGAACATGCAACCTCCACACAGAAAGGCTCGGGCAAGATTGTGGAGTCAAACACACAACTTTGCTGTGAGGTAACTGTGCCACGCCACCGTGCTGCCACACCCCATTCTGACCCAGCAACCCAAATACAGGTGTTTTGGTGCCTAAGGTTCTGGTGCAGGTACCATCAGAAATGAATACCATTTAGGTATTTAGAAGTTGCACTGAAAGGTAAAAGATAGGCTTCACTGGCCAGGCTGGTTAAGGAACAAGTTAAAAGCGGTGCAGGTTGTTCTTCCCATAAGGCCTCTGCTTGCTCCCTTGTAGCCATCCACCACTACAAGAACAGGTATATCTTACAGCATGGACTGATCATGAAGCTAAGGACTGGATTGTTTCAGTGTTGTTTGCAGTATCCATTCAGATCAAGGCTGAAATTTTGATTTGACTCTGTTTAACCCTTTAAAACCGGTCGGAGCGGGCACGCTCCGTTTTGTGTAACTATTTTTAAATCCCGGTAGCACTGCAACCACGTAAGCTAGCGCAATAATTTTTTTTGCATATGAAACCGGAGGAGTTGTACTTACATCTTATGCCATCAGCTTGTCCTCGGTCACAGTTTCCTTCCACATATAGCTTTGCAAAAACTGCATAAAAAGCGCTTGCAGCAACAAAAACATAATATTCCAGAAACACGCTTTGCCGATCCGATCAGCTGTTCATAACACTTCCTACGTCCATCAGCGCGAACTATCGCATGTCCGCCATGACCTGCCCGAAACCGGAAGTGACGTCATTTTGCGGAAATGTAGTTTTTTACCATCAGGGCCTCATGAGCCTATACTGGTGTTTTTAAAAGTTATGTTTGACTTTATGACTTTCTGTGTCGTTTCTGGGATGCTTAGGACTCATATTGCACTGCTGGAAATAGTTTATTTTGATGCATATGCTGCTTTTTTGCAAATTTGCACTATAATATTTATTTTTGTTTTTCCTGCAGTATATAAAAATTGGTGTATTTCAGAGGGTAATGTGACTGGGATGAAGCCTGAACTCACCATCGTTGGGATACATTGGTCCAGGGCTAATGATTGATATCAAGTGTGGCTTTCTGTGTAGCTAATGAGACTACAGCTCTTGATTATGGATGAGCAATGGGCATTTAGTGTGTGTGTGTGAGCTGCAGGACGTTGCGTGGCATAGGCGCGTTCATCCTTCATCATCATGAGTTGTGCCGCCAGGAAAGTTGACAGATAGCAAGGGGGTTAGCTGTTCGAGTGCTAGGAGGGGAGGTTTGCTGGCTTCTTTAGCTAGTCCAGCCCAATCAGAGGAAAGTGAGTTGTGTCATTGCTCCTCAATGTGCTGTGGCCTTGAACGCTGCAACCATTAATTAATGTGTGGCTTCCTGTGCACGCCAGTGGAGTGAGAGGGCCCCACGAGCCCAGACCCTGGGATGGGGTCTCAGTGTCTCTCTTTTAATTTTAGAGATGGATATTTTTATTTCCCCTCCCACTTCCACCCGATGAACCCTTTTTTGAACAGTTGGAAAGTTTAATGTCACATTCAGTGTAATCACTGTTCATTCTGTCAACAAATACAACGCAGCTCTAAACCTGGAAACTGCTCGTAATAGCACCGAAACATTTATGCTGGTGTAATTCTCGGGTACGATTATCTGGTGCTACGTTGCTTTTAAAGTCTCGATCTGGACTAATAAAAGACGGAAGGAAAAGATCTACAAATGAAAATCAGATTGTTCCGATTTTGCAGAACTGCAGTGTGTTTGCAAATTATTATTAATTACTTACATTATTTAAAATACAGTCTTGTTGACTGACTACTGGACAATGTGTTGTGCTACATACATTACCTGCTTTCTCGGGTTTTTTGGACGCTGAACAGTTGCTATTTTTGAGAATGTGTAAAACTCCCCTCTTAGCCATTGTATGAAGCTGAGAGGCCAAGACCATGCATTCTCAATCAATTTCCCAGGCTGTAGTTCTGCAACCCAGCTTGCAAAACCCAGGTCCCCTTTAGTCGCTCCCTTTTCATCCTCCTTTTACCTTTGTCAAACAATGGATCCTTCCCTATTTCACACTGAATCCCCCAAACACTGTGTGAATAAAGTTAGTCCAACATGCGGCCCTAAACCCACCCTGAGACTGCTGCGGGCAGCCACACTCACAGAATTGTGTGTTAATAGTCCAATTAGATAATTGCCATCTTTCACTCCTTTTCCTCTCTGTTTCCCATAAAGGCATGAATGGCACTCAGGGAGGGGGGCAGCCTGAAGAGGGCTTCTGGCCAGCTAAGGTGACAAGAAGGGCCAGAGAATGTTCCTTGCACTAGCCCGCTGGTTTGAATTGAATCTTTGTGGCCTAATCAATGGTCTTATTGGATTACTGGCCACTGCTGTGTTCAGAGATATTGTTTCACTGACAATGAAAACAGCAAAGAGTTGGTGGCTGGGTGGGTGGGTAGTGGGTTGGAAGGCGAGTGGTGGAGAGAGGTAGGGGCCATTTCAGGGGTATGCGTGCATGAGAGAGAGCGTAGGCAGCCGAAGCACTAATGACAAGTTTTGTTCCCCTTTTTTGTCTCCTTCAAATATGCAGGTTAAGATTGCGAGAGCTGAAGATGGCTTTTAGGGTGCAATCATTTGAATACTGAAGGACCTCGCTGGGCTTTTCTCTTTGACCGAATCACATGATGACACAGGAAACTTGAACACAATTCTCATTTAAGAGGAGCCCAGCATTGTTGTGGTGATCCGGCTGGCTAAGTCATCATTGCCTTCATAAATTTTGCTATGTGTGGATTTTTTCATTACCCTTTGTTAGCTATCTCTCTCACACTCTGTCTCCCTCTCTGGCTCACTCCCAGTTTCTCTTGCCTACAACAGCGTAGTGACAAGATCTGCACGTTGCAGAATTCCACTGATTGGAGAGAAAGCCAACGGGAAAAATGAGATCAAAGTTCACTGACAGGCTGCAGCAACAAGGTACGCTGTAAAAAGTCAGTGGGACAAAATAACCAGCCGCGTTCTGGCACCGGAAGAACGACGTGTCCGGGAACTTTTTTGGGCTCCGGTCGACTCGTACCTCTGCGATTGTGTGCGGGAGGCTTGGTTGCGAGACAAGACCAATCATTTGTCTTGATACCCTGCACTGAGAGCAGGCAAACTGAGGGGGACGGAACGAACAAACCCCTCTATCAAGACCTGATCTATTTCCCCAAACAATTTTGTGTATTCATGAGGTTACGCAAATGTGGAGGCAGCAAAATTACCGTAATCAATTGAAACAGCCAGTGCGCATCCATGGCTCTGATTATTTGGAGATCATCTATCAGCCTGATGGCTGTGTAACGAGGAAAGGGGGGCATTGAATTACTATTGAGATTTACTGAGAAGTCCATGATCATTGGGCAAGGGAGTTTGGTCAGTGATAATAGGACTCCTTGGTCTGGCGGCGGCGGAAGTATTTCTCCAAACATTAGATAGCTGACTCTGCACTGCTGAAAGGTGCTGTTTTGAAACTAAAACCCACAGTGTCCGGACAGGCTGGTGAGCTGCATTCTCCATAATCTCCTTTCCCCCCCACCTGACAAAGGAAAATCAGAGGTGGACGAGCGGCGGCTCTAAGAGGATAAACTGAGCATGGAGGTCAGATACAACCAAGAGACTGAAGGGATGGTGCTGAAGAATGGACTAAAGGAGGGGAAAGATGGCAAGGACTCCCAGGGCAGCCTGACCAAAAGCTTCCTCAAGGACCAGCAGGACTCCTTTGCCCCCTCCGGTACCGTGGACACTTGTGACAAGAACAGGGGGAGCACAGGAGACCCAGACTACTGTCGGAGAATACTTGTTCGAGGTAATGCTCGTCCTTTGATTTTTAAGCTGTTATCAGTCTGTCGCACTCAGATGCATTTGACAAATTTGAAAAATGAGATTATCTTGAAAAAAGTTGTAAAACAAGCTCCGTAATGTCACAGTGTGGTCGTTTAGTTCATTAAGAGGACGCCGACCGCTCATCAGCCTTTGTAGATCGGAAGCACTTTACTGAACTTTAAGCCTAACACCAGAAGGTTTTTCTTTTTTAAAATATAGTTTGATAAACTCACTTCTTCTTATTTTATTGCTCCAGGATTAAAAATGTAAGAGAACTGAATTATCTGCTGTGTTACATGCACATGCTTTTTTAAGACAATGACAAAACGTTTAGAATTAATATTTTAAGATTAATTATTGCAACAATTTTAGGATTTGCTGTTAAAATAAGCAGATTTAAATGTGCCTTCCCAGGTATATCCCCTATATTTTCAGAGTTATAAAGATGAGTAATCAGAGGGAAAATACGCACACACTTTGTTATTATTGCTATTTAACATCAACAAATGATGCATCGCATTAAATGCATGAGAGAACAGCTAAGAGTGTCACTGTGTGTTTTCTGTCACGAGTGTTTGAAAACAAATAATAAATATAATACCTACACAAAACCACTTGTTTAATAAATGTAAAAAAGCACATTAAGATTTTCAATTAAAATATTTTACTCTATAAATAAAATTATACAACAATTATTTATTCATTTTTTCACAGCATAATCTGAAATAATAGAAAACATAAGCAGACTGTAAAGATATGTTTTATTCTTTTGTCTTTTGTGCAGGGTCGTGTGAATGAAAAATAAATAGGCTCACTTTGATTTAATGTTTTTTATTATAAACTTAAATTAAATGTTCAGTTTTCTGCAAAGCATTTCAGTCACACTGATGAAAAGAAATCATTTGGAGTACGTCACACTTCAATGTTACTCCGAATGCACCTCCACTCCTGTGGCTTTATGAAATATGATTCTAGTAATAATAAATCTATTTATATTAATAACTGAGATGATGTCAAATCTGTCTACATTGTGTCCTGTTGCCTCTGTGAATTATTTTGCTGCTTGTTGCAGATGCTAAAGGCTCCATAAGAGAAATCATCCTGCCCAAAGGTTTGGACTTGGACCGGCCGAAGCGTACCCGCACCTCCTTCACTGCAGAGCAGCTCTACCGTTTAGAGATGGAGTTTCAGAGGTGCCAGTATGTGGTTGGAAGGGAACGCACAGAATTGGCCCGTCAGCTCAACCTCTCTGAAACTCAGGTATGCACCCAGCAACGCCGCCATGGATTTAAACAAAGTGTCTTTATGCACTGAACCATCAGCTTTTTCCTGCTAGCGTTTCAGCACGTACGAAGGTGGATGTAACCACATGATTAAATTAATTTCAGTTATTTTCAAGCACATGAAATTATAACATTAATTATGACTCAGAGGCCATTTACTGTTTATTTAAGTTGGATTTTTTTTGTGTTTTAAGGAGATATTTTTACACATAATTACACTTTGATTGTGAAACATGATTTTCATGCTGGTCACTGGTTTGCATGCTTCATGGAAAAAAATCTTCAACCCACAGTAACCATTAAAAATCATATCTAAGCAGTTGTAACTTACTGTTTTAGAGAGACCCCAAAAACATTTGATTTGAGCTTCTAATAAAAAATGAAATTCAAATAGAGCAATCCTGTGTTTACTGTCTGACTGAGATGTGTGCTGGCCGTAGGAAAGCTCACGATCTGTCTTCATGCTGTACGTGTGGGGTCAGCACAGGTTCATGTAGTGGGTGAACGGTGTTTGCTCTTTGTACCAGATTTCACAGCGAGTCACTCCGGCGATCCCAGCCTGTTTCAGCGCCTGTGGCTCGTCTCTGGGATTTTTAACACCGGTGCTGTCGGGACCTCAGTTTGCACTTTGTGTTAATGTGTTTTTTGCCACAGCTGAATGAACTTGACCTTGAGAAAAGGCCGGCAAGAGGTCATAATTAGACACAACTAACAGCAACGGCTGTGCTTATTTTAACCTAGCTGTGTGTTAACATTTTAAATGTTTTACATTTTCATTAGAGCAACACAACCACTGTTCCCCACGCGCAACTATTCATTTTCTCATATAAACATCAGACAGAAAACGAACTTTTCAATGCTTAGTTTTCTGGAATGAGACTCGGCTGTGTGCAGCAGTTTGAAGCTCCAGTTTCACATCTTTGCACTGAGTCCACTCAGGACACCACCTTGTTCAGTCTTTATGTTGTGGACGGAGATTATTGGACAGAGCAGTGGCGTTTCTTCACTTTGTGTAAAGAATTAACCCACAGACTATAGCGAGGAGGGAAAGTATTCACGTGTGGAGTAGCACCAGGACTGAGCTGGGCGCTTGCTGATGATTGGTACGTGTATATTTTGCTCCTTACTAAAATAGTCTCATGTGTCGGCTACATTTCATATTTTAAATTATACGGCTTATTAAAACGGAACTATTAAAATGTCACATTAAATAAAATGATGGATAAAAGAAACGTAAATATAATAAAAATGGACGAAAGGCGTAATTTATTGTGAAAGTACAACAGCGAGCCTATATTAAGCACCGTGAGGTAAATATAAATACATAAATAAATAAATACATAAATATTTATTTATTACATAAACATTTTATTTAATAAATCATAAATCAAAATGAATTAAAAATGGAATACTTGCTAGTTTAACCAGTTACAGCAGTAATATCCTCAGGCATGGAAATACATTTTTCCTGCTGCAGATTTCACTTTCACAGTTTTCAATAAATCTCTAAAATGTTAGAAATATATTTTATTATGACTAATTTATTTAATTCAAATTAAGTTTAACATTTTCTGTTCATCACATATTATTTTTAAGGGGCAAAAAGTGTCACTGTCAAATATTACATTTAAGATTTCTTTCATTTGTCTGAGGATATTTCGCGAAGTTTCGCCTTCATTTCCAGGGTCGGTGAATCCTGTGGTGGTAATAAAAGAAGTCGCTGAAGTCATTGCAGTTAATTATCCCCACTCTGAGTGAAGATACAGAGAAACAAGTATGGAGCAGGTTTACTGTGAATGTGGTATTCAGGCTTTTGTTTCCATAGAAATATGTTGAGATTTTAAGCTCTTAATGTTAATAGGAGGCTATTTTAAAGAACACAAATGCTGACGAGTCACGTTCAGAATTGAGCAGCTGGTTATTAATCTTTGTGGGTCATTTATTTTCCAATAAATAACATCACAGCGCAGCAGTCAAACATAATGGGCAGATTCCCATGTTTTTGTTCACCGATGGCTCTGTTGGGTCGTGTGTGGTTTGTGCCACGTTTGACTGAATCGCCTTGCTGTCGGTCAGCCTACACGTATTATTGTCTGTGCTTATTAAAATGTCTGCACTTATATGGCTGTTACACTTTAGCACGGCTGTAACGCTGCATCTGCACGGGGGAAGGGAAGGCAGCTGCCGCTGTACTCTGTGCAGACGAGCTGTTTTAGACTTCACACTGAAGCAGCAGATATCAGTGAATATTAGTCTTTCTTTCATTTTATACCAGCACACAATATTCATATATTCATGCACAGGATTTGGGTCTGTGAGCATGCGCTCTACGTATAGCACAGCCACAGAGGAACTGCATATGATTGTTATTTCTCAGAATGCTCTCTCTTTTGTGTTTGAATCTAGGTGAAAGTCTGGTTCCAGAACCGCCGTACTAAGCAGAAGAAGGACCAGGGGAAGGACTCTGAGCTGCGTTCGGTAGTTTCAGAAACAGCAGCCACCTGCAGTGTCCTCAGACTGCTGGAGCAGGGCCGGCTGCTGACGCCTCCCGGCCTGCCGGGCCTCCTGCCTCATTGCGGCGGCGGCACTCTGGGCTCTGCCCTGCGGCCGCCCTCCATGGCCATGGCCAGCAACGGCAGCAGTAGCAGCAGCAGTAGCGGAGGAAGCACCGGTACAGCAGGCGGCAGCCCCCCGCTACCCGCCGTCACCAGCTCAGGGACAGTGGCAAGCTTGCAAAGCTCACCGGCAGCTCACAGCCTTTTCAGCTTCCCTATGCCCTCCTTACTCAGTGGCGTCGCCACCCGCATTTCCTCCAACCCCCTCTCCATGGCGGGCTCCCTGGCTGGAAACCTGCAGGAACTTTCTGCTCGCTACCTGAGTTCCTCTGCCTTTGAGCCTTACTCGCGGACCAATGGCAAAGAATCCATGGACAAGAAAATCCTGGAATAATGTTTTTACATAGACGGAGTCCTGTTTCCTCAGGACACGTGCCGGTTATTTTCCTTGGCTGTTATTGTCATTTTCTGGTTTCGAGCTGTCTCTTCATCTGTCTGTGTCATGTTTTGTAGCAGTTCATGTATTCCAGTTGCGCATCTGGCGCCTTGTACAAGGAAGCAAACATAAGCTCGTCTTAACAAAGAAAAGGTGGCAGTGGGGAGATTTTGCACAAGAAGTTCATAAAGGACTTTATAAAAGAGAATTAGAGAGATATACACTGAGGAGAGTACTAACAGATGTCTTTCTGTTAATAAACAAATATTTAGTCCAAAAACCAACTATATACTGAAGCGCGTAGAGAATACAGCTGCTAATGTGGTGCATACAGGCTACGGCAGGGCGCTGAAGACTGGTGACAGGAACTGTAAAGTTATGGTGATGTTGTTGAACTGTGTTCTTTGATTGTGATGGGTAGGTGCGTGTCAGAGCAGTGAGTAGATATAGACAAACAACATGAGACGTCAAACACCTGAGCAGCAGTTTGTGTCATCCTGATAATTCAGCGCTTTTAAAATTTTACCTTAGCAAGGCCAATTTCCTGAAATAGAATTAAAGAAGGGGTCGAGTGTGCGATTACAGGCCAGAGTGAAACCCAGGCGATCAGAGATGCAGATGTGTCATAAGAGCATCTTTTGTAAATCTGTATTATCTTTGAACCAAAACAGAATCCCGAACAATGTCGTCATACAGCATGAGAGCTGTTCACACACACACACATATATATAAGTGTGTGTGTGTGACTGTAATTCCACTACGAGTTCTCCAGGTTCTGGTGTACAGTTTCTGTTGCGTGTTGGAGCTGAGCACAGGTACGAGCTACTGAAAGGGAGAAAAGGCTTTTCAGCTGAAACTGTTTGCTTTGTTGAACGCTACAAGGTAACAGCTTTTTCAATCATTAAGACAACCTTTCCTGTGCAAAATTTCTTAAATCCACAGCCTTCAGAAAAGATTAAGGCCGATGATTCTTGTGGAGACTGAATGAAATTATTGTAGTACTCAAGTACTGGAAATGCAAAATGTACCTTAAAGTTGTTATTTTATTGTAAATTATTTACTTCTGTAATTAATAGATTATTAGTATATCTGGAAAATAATGAATGAATGAATGTATTAGCAGGGTTGAGGATTCAATCAAAAGCTCTTTGGTGCTGTTGTTGTGAAATATCTTGAAATTTGTGAAACGTGTGGTTCAAATGTTGATATATATTATGTATACGGCTGCAGACAAAGACAAGTGTGTTTTTTTTTCTTCCATACATGTTGCTATAAATTAAGTTATGATAAATCTCATGACTGTCATACCTCCTCTACACGCGCCTGATGTGATGCTTGCTGATGTTGTTCCCACTCATCCTTTGACTGGAGGGAACAAAAGCTATGAAGCAACACAGTGGACTAACGTGTTGCAGTGACAGTGTAATTTTATTAGGGCTGTACAGCTATTTATATAAGCAAACGTTTTATTAATTTTGTACAAAAGATATCAGAAACGGTAGAAAAAACTGCCTTTTTTCCTTTTTCCAAACTCTAAAACAATGAAATCAACAAAGGCCGGAGCAGACGGCGGAGTCAGGATCTTCTTGCTGCGAGGCAGCAGTGCTAACCGCTGTCCCACCATGCTGCCCCGGCTCCTACGTTCTCCCTGTGGGTTCTCTCCGGGATAATGGTGCCAGTTCAGTTCAGACATTCGTTTCACTTTTCACAAATGTGAGTTTCTGTATTTTCTGACTAAAATCTACACAACAAAAGGAAACAGTTGACTAGAGCGTTCGTTTCCACATCTGGTTCGCCCTTTTGTTTTCCTGTGAACTCGAAACAATAACCTTTAGGGCTAGCAGCCAGTATCCTGTTTTTCACCTGCTCCACCATCTAATGAGTCGGCTGGACGGGAGAGCTGCAGCGTTCACCCAGTCCTCCAAACACACTTTAACAAACTCCTCCTAAAAGTTTCTCTCAGTCTAATTTCAAGTTATTTTCAGTAAATTTGAAGAAAACAAAATTTGCATAGAATCGTGTTTTTAGTCATTTAACACATTTGCATAAATGAATATTAGAAATAAAAGGAAAACTTCCAAAGACCTCTTGTAATCATTGGTCTCGCTCTCTGTTAGTGAAAACACGGCTAAAACGTCTGGAACCTCGACAACTGTCGATAGCAATGAAGACTCATAATAATATAACGGTCGTGTTTTATAATTTAACGTTAACATAGCAGCACACAGTGGCGGTTTGTCAGACGACTCTGAGAACTCTTAGTTTGTTTGTTCTCTTCTGAGTTCAGCCCTGCTTGTTTCTGCAGAACAATAACACCAGACATGTAAAACTGAGGCTTTTTGTTCGCAGAGCCAAAGAAACCAATCCTTCCCACTGTGTCTTGGGAATCTCTCCAGAGGAAAAAATAAAGGTTACATTTATGCCTCCTATGCCTCTCAACCCCATTCTGGAGGCCCCCATCCATTCTCTCCCTTCACCCTTAGTCCAATTAGAAGAAGGTCGGGGAGGTTTTTGTAAGTGTGCTGGGTTGTTGAAGGGGTATCTGTGTTTTTCATGTGCAGACCACCAACATATTTTCTCTCATTACATCGTCCTGTCTTTAAACTCAGGTCTTAGGAGATGACAGAAAGCCTACATTCTGTCCAGTATTCAGTATCTGTATTTCGCAGTACGTCCCACTATTCATCACTCACTGAAGACAAAAACAACAGCCCCCGGTTGCTTTTCAGGCTGGCGAAGAGTCAGAGCACTAGCCAAATATTTCTATAACATTAACTCGTAATGACTCCTTGAATTTCTTTACAAATAAAATTTTAAATTATTCCTACCTGTCCCATAGACGTATCATTAAGTACAACTTTAAAACTATTCATATTTATTTAGACTTTTTTCTCTCTGATTGATGTTCCTCAGTTAACCTCAATTAATACTTCCTCCCAACCATCTGCATGTCTGAAGCACATTTCAACATAATCACTCAAACGGTAAATGGTCTGTATTCATATAGCGCTTTACACTACATCCAGTCATCCACCCATCCACACACACATTCACACACTGGTGATGGCAGCTACATGTAGCCACAGCCACCCTGGGGCGCACTGACAGAGGCGAGGCTGCCGGGCACTGACGCCACCGGGCCCTCTGACCACCACCAGTAGGCAACGGGTGAAGTGTCTTGCCCAAGGACACAACGGCCGAGACTGTCGGAGCCGGGGCTCGAACCGGCAACCTTCCGATTACAAGACGACCTCCCAACTCTTGAGCCACAATCGCCCCGGAAGTCCAAAGAAATCCTACCATTAATTAATGCTTTGATTTTAAATATGATCAATCTATCTCTGTTATTGAGGGGTACGCACCACAAGCCTTTAGGTGGCAGTAAATAAAACAATATTTAGAACGCCAGCCTTGGACCCAGCTGTCTAACTGATCATCTGCAGAGGAATGGCTCATTCAGAATTCATCACTGTATAGAAACAGCAGCAGTGAAGGTGAAACATGATCTTCTGATGGCCACCATGCTGGCCTTGCTCCAGCATCTGTGTTACAGGACAGGTAAAACGATCCCTCGTTAAACTCAGAGCAGGGGTTTCCTTGAGTCTGGATATGTTCATGTGGCGTCTTGCCAAACCACTTCAATCTACGTATCGTCAAGTTGAGCGCTGTGATTAAGTTGCACTTCTTCCGTTTTTTCAATTTATTTCAATTCCATTCACTTTTAATGTCATAGAACCAAAGCACAAAATTGCCTGGAGGTGCTTTAGACCAGCGGTCCCCAACCTTTTTTGCACCACGGACCGGTTTATGCCCAACAATATTTTCATGGACCGGCCTTTAAGGTGTCGCGGATAAATACAACAAAATAAAAGTAGTACCGGTACCGAAAAAGAAGATTTATTCATAACACGCGTGAAAAGACCCAGGAAAACCGAGTTAACGATAAAAACGATAACAAAATAACGCTGAAAACCGATAAAACCCCTGAAAAGCAGACATTTCACACCTGAGCCTCAACTCTCGCGGCCCGGTACCGGTCCGAGGCCCGTGGGTTCGGGACCGCTGCTTTAGAGCCTACAATAACAGAAAATCCCAGCAATCACATGACCCCCTAGGAACCAACACTTGGCAACCGTGGGAAGGAAAAACTCCCTGAGCCGCCAGCTGGGGGTGAGGGGAGGATACAGGACAAAAACACACTGTGTAGAGAGATTAATAATAACTAATGATTAAATGCATTTGTTGTTGTTAAAAAGCTGAGTGGAGAAAAAACATGCATCATGGAAAGCCCCAGCAGAGACTAGGCCTATTGCAGCATAACTATGGAAGGACTCGGGGTCACCTGATCCAGTCCTGACTATATGCTTTAGACAAAAAGAAAGTTTCAAACTCAGTGTTGAAAGCAGAGAGGCTGTATGTCTCCCAATGTCTCCTGAATCCAAGCTGGGAGCTGATTCCACAGAAGAGGGGCCTGAAAAAGTCGAGTAAGCCAGCATTCTGAGAGTGAAGTGCTCTATTAGTACAATATGGTACTATGGGGTCTTTAAGACAGGCTTGCGCATTATTATTGAAGAGCTTGTGTGTTTGGAGAAGGATGTCAATTCTTGATTTAACAGGAGCAGCCAATATGGGAGAGATATGCTATCAGTACTCTCGCTATAATCAACAGAAGGCTTTTTAGGTCATTTTTAGGTCGTTGTTAGGGCAGCCTGCTAATAATGAATTACAGCTGTAGAGCCTAGAAGGAATAAATGCATTTTTCAGGCATCACTCTATGGCTACGTTCACTCTGCAGGCGAAAGCGCATCAAATCCGATTTTTCTGACCCTATGCGACCCATCTATCCGATCATGGTGTGACAGTGTGAACGGCACAAATCCCATATCTTCAAATCCGACCTGGGTCACCGTCGTATGTGGTGCTGAATCAGATACATATCTGATGTTTCAGAAAGCGGCTGCTGTTTGATGGTCATGTCGCATTAAATCCATCTTTTACGTCACTGACGCAAGACAGACGCCAATTATCAGCGCCGGAGAAGACATCACGAACGCTTCCTGGACATCCGGTGAAACTGTTGGGAAGACAACGCTGGAGAAACGTGAACATTTTATTTGTTCTGTATAACCTGCAGATTCTGACAGAAATCTGCAACTAGAAGCACCGCTCCTCTAAAACAGCAATAAGGATCATTATTAGGTTATCTACATTATGTCAATAACAAAATAACTTAAAGCAAAAATTGGGAGACGTAAAGTCTGAAGTCTTTATATTAAGGCCATCAGTCAAACATTGTTTGCTCTGGGTCTGAACAGAGCGCGTCGTGTGTGACGTCTCCTTTTGCGCATGCGGGCTTTGAGCGTTCACACTAGAGCGCGTTTGCTGTCACATTTTATTTGTGGTGTGAACGAGCAGACAAAAAAATCAAAAAATCTGAATTGAGCATTAAGACCTGCAGAGTGAACGTAGCCTAAGATACGACATAAGATAAGATAAGACTTTATTGATCCCACAGCGGAGAAATTCTTGCTGTAGACTGGTTTTTCTTATTTCAAAGATAATGTGCAAATGGAAGTCCTACATGTTTCTTTAATATGCACAATGAATAACATACCCTGATAACAAACAATTCACAGTGTTACTGGAGGCCAAGGTAATGCCATCCAGAGTAAGAATCTGCTTAGATACCATATTTCTAAGATTTTCAGGGCCGAGTACAATAACCTCAGTTTGATCTGAATTAAGAAGCAGAAAGTTAGCGGCCATCCAGGTCTTTATGTCTTTAAGACATTCCTGCAGTTTAACTCATTGGTGTGTGTTATCTGGCTTCATGGACAGATAGAGCTGGGTGTCATCTGCATAGCAGTGTAAATGTATGCTATGTCTTCTAATGATGCTGCCTAAGGGAAGCATGTATAATGTAAACAGAATTGGTCCTAGCACTGAACCCTGTGGAACTCCATAATTAACCTCAGTGTGTGAAGAGGACTCTCCATTTACATGCACAAACTGGAGTCTGTTAGATAGATATGATACAAACCACTGCAGTGCAGTACCTGTAATACCTACAGCATGTTCTAATCGCTCTAATAGGATATTATGGTCGACAGTATCGAACGCTGCACTGAGGTCTAGCAGGACAAGCACAGAGATGAGTCCACTGTCAGAGGCCATAAGAAGATCATTTGTAACCTTCACTAAAGCTGTTTCTGTGCTGTGCTGAGCTCTGAAACCTGACTGAAACTCTTCAAATGAACCATCCCTGTCAGTCAGCTGTTTTCGAACTACTCGTTCAAAAGCTTCTGAGATAAGAGGAAGATTGATGATTGGCCTAAAATTAGCCAAGGAGGTCAAGTGATGGACTATAATTTCACAGGAGCAGCAGCAAGCCCATGTCCAAGCCTTGTTACAGCAGCCGCAGTTAGCCAGCTCCTCGCTCAGACTGACCCAGAGCCACAGCTAGAGCAACCAGAGACAACCTTGTACCCTGTGCAGCCCCCGCTCCACCTGAGCCAGCAGTCACCGGTCCAGCAGAGCGAGAGGTCATCACTCCGTCATGTGATCCCACATCGCCTGAACCAGAGATATTGTAAATGATGCCCTACCAGTGCTGGGGAGTAACAGAATACAGGCCTGGACAAAATTCTTGGTACCCTTCAGTCACTGAAAGAAAAACTCATAATGCTCACAGAAATAACGTTAATCTGACAAAAGTATAAATAAATACAAATTCGATGAATGTTTACCAATGAAAGTCAGACATTGCTTTTCAACCATGCTTCAATTATTTAAAAAATAAATGAATGAAACAGGCCTGGACAAAAGTGATGGTACCCACAACTTAATATTTTGTTGCACAACCTTTTTAAGGCAGTCACTGCAATCAAACGATTCCTGTAACCGTCAATGAGACTTCTGCACCTCAGCAGGTATTTTGGTCCACTCCTCATGAGCAAACTGCTCCAGTTGTTTCCGGTTTGAAGACCACCTTTTCCAGACGGCATGTTTCCGCTCCTTTCAAAGATGCTCAATAGGATTGAGGTCAGCGCTCATGGAAGGCCACTTTAAAATAGTTCAATGTT